GAAATTCAACCCCAGCCCCCACGGGCCTCTCATCACTGGGTGGGGCCCTGGTGGCACCGGGAGGGGGGCATCCCTGGAGCAGGGGTGGGTGGGCTGGGGTCTCTGAGCTGCGTGGCCAGGTGGCCAGGATTTGGCTGGGCCACCTCCAGGTGAAGTGGAGAGCGTGGGGGGACGGCTCCAACGCCACAGGAGCCTCCCCTCCAGGGCCAGCTGCAGCGGGGGCCGTTCCAGGTTGGCGGGCAGGCCTGCTTTACCTGTTTTCTCTACATTCATGGTGCCACCAGCTTCCTGGGCCTCCCGGTCCCGCCTGGGGGCCGGCGCCTGCCTCTTCAGGAACTTCTCCTCTTTCGTCCCCTGACTCTCGTTCTCGCACCCCTTGTCCAGGAGGGCTTGCTGCCAAGACACAACCAGAATCCTCGCGTGAAGGGGACCGCAGTGGGGAGGGCACCCCTCCTGAGCCTGAGGATGCTGCGCTCCTGGAGCTGGTGAGCACCCCGGGCCCAGGGATCCATCGCTCGCTGTGTGAGTGGGTGAGGACAATGAGGCCTGGGGTCTGGAAGAAATGTGCCCAGATGCCATGACAAGACAGTGGCAGTGCATTTTCTGGGCCCCCGTTGGCAGCCAGTTATCTGCACCCATGAAGAAGGTTCTCGGGCACTTAGACATTCTCACGTGAAGCTCACTGGGCTATCCCTGAGGGGCTCTGTGGGGCGTGAGCCGCCAGGGCAGTGGCCTGCTTGCTTCAGGCCCACAGCCCCCCAATTCACAGGGCTGTCCAGCCCCACCAGGCACAACCCCCCCTCCCAGGATGTCAGCTACCCCCCACCTACAGACGGCACCAGCTCGGGACTGCCAAGAGGGGGGCACACAGATGCACACGAGCAGGGGAAGGCCATGCCCCCCAACCCCCGTCTCCTAGTCAAGGAGAAACCAAGGCAAAGAAGGCTGAGGTAGAACAGGCCACTGGACAGGCAGGGAGAGAGGCAGGGAGGGACAGAAAGAATCATCCAGAGATGATGCCGCTCACGTAGAAAGACATCCAAAGCAAGCTGCAGGACCACATGGATAGTGCAATCCCGTTTGATGATAAGACAAATAAAACGGGCCTCAAAAAAAAAATCTGGGGAACTGTATAGACAATGGTTCTTTCTGGGAGGTCAGGTGATGCAGCAGCTAGGAGGAGAAACGTGCATCATTTAAACTTTTGGGCGAGTAAAAAGAAACTTAACCATGAGAATGTGGGAAGAAGGGAAAGGAGTCTCTATATTTCATTTTGAACTTTTCTCGGCACTTGTATTCTCAGGCTTATAAGCATGTACAGTGTTCTGTTTTATTTTTTAATGTCAATGGAAATTATCTGGGAAGGGCATTACAAACATATTTTATTTTATTTTTTTTAAGTTTTATTTAAGTAATCTCTACACCCAACACGGGGCTTGAACTCAAGACCCAGAGATCCAGAGTCGCATGCTCTTCTGACTGAGCCAGCCGGGTGCCCCTACAGACGCTTTTTTGCGTGTCTTTGTGCCTTCTGTATTTGAAACAAAAGACAAATGCTCTGTTTAAAAGAATGCTCCGAGAAAGGGGAACCCTTTTACACTGCTGGTGGGAATGCAAGCTGGTGCAGCCACTCTGGAAAACAGTGTGGAGGTTCCTCAAAAAGTTGAAAATAGAGCTACCCTACGACCCAGCAATTGCACTACTGGGTATTTACCCCAAAGATACAAATGTAGGGATCTGAAGGGGTATGTGCACCCCAATGTTTATAGCAGCAATGTCCACAATAGCCAAACTATGGAAAGAGTCTAGATGTCCATCAACAGATGAATGGATAAAGAAGATACATACACACACACACACACACACACACAATGGAATATTATGCAGCCATCAAAAAAAATCTTGCCATTTACAACCGTGGATGGAACTAGAGGGTATTATGCTAAGTGAAATAAGTCAATTAGAGAAAGACAATTATCATATGATCTCACTGATATGAGGAATTTGAGAAAAAAGGCAGAGGATCATAGGGGAAGGGAGGGAAAAATAAAATAAGACAAAATCAGAGAGGGAGACAAAGCATAAGAGACTCTTAACTACAGGAAACAAACTGAGGGTTGCTAGAGGGGAGAGGGGCAGGGGAAATGGAGTCACTGGGTGACGGGCATGAAGGAGGGCACATGATATGACGAGCACTGGGTGTTACACACAACCGATGAATCACTGAACTCTACCTCTGAAACTAATAATACACTGTACGTTAATTAACTGAATGTAAATAAAATTTTTTAAAACATAAAAATTAAAAAAAAGAAAACAAAATAAAAGAACGTTCCGAGTCTGGAGTCAGAAAGCACCGGGTGTGAGGCCCGGCTGTGCCTTGTGTATGCTGTGTGGCTCTGGGCAAGTTACTGTCCTTCCCTGAAGCTTCATTTTCCCCATTCCTAAAATAGAAATGTTACCAGCCACCTCATGCCACTGGCGTGAAGGGAAACTGCAGGAACTCATGCAAAGTTCTCAAAGCGGCTGGTGCACAGTAAGAACCAGATGTCAGGTTAGCATAATATTCTTTCTGTACTTTTCCATGTTGTTGTTTTTATTATGGCTTTGTAACCCCAAATCCAACAAACAGAGAAAAGAAAGAGGAAAGCCACATCAGCAGCCTCGTTCACCATGTCTGACTCTCTCTCTCTCTCTCTCTCTCTCTCTCTCGACCTCACGTTCTACTTGAGAAGGGAGGGTGGCCAGCACAATCTCTTGTATGTAGGAAAACTCCTCCCCCCGACTTTATTTGGTCCGCCCCCCACCCCCCCTTGACCAACTGCCACACCATCCCGAGTAGGTTTGTCAGCGGCGGCAGCAATGACAGCAGCTGGGAGTTTCCAATTGCCACCAGAGCAAAGGTTACACTATTTCTGGCCCGTTGGTCAAGCCACAGGAAGGGCACCCGGCGGGGGGCGGGGGGGGGCGGCAGGGGTGTTGGGAATTTCTGCAGCACCTCCAGAGGGAGCATCTCAGGTTTTAACTACTTGATAGGCTGGGGCAGGGAGGTGGTTCCCTAAGCCTACCAGGTCACCCCACAGTGCCTGGGTCCCTCCTTCAGCCCCACAGCCCTGACCTCAAAGCCCCTATAAACATAATGGAGCTTCGCGAGGGCCCAGAAGGACACCAACATGGAAACTGGTTGCTGACAGGAGCTTCTCAGAGATTCTCAGCAGATCTGCTGACCCCAGGACTCGGCAGCAACCACAACCCAACACCCCATAATCAAAATTCAAGAAGAGAGCCACCGCCCAGCTCAAGGCAGCCGGTTTCTGACCACCTCCGGATTTAACTACCAATGGCTCAAGTCAGAGAAAAAAAAAAAAAAGGGTTCTCTGGTTTCTTTAACTGTTCCCACACCAGACCTGCTTTGCTTGCAGACCGTAAGATAAAAGAAGGACCGTCTGGTTCAGTTTGCACATGAACCACACAAGAAGGGCCGAGAAAAGCCTTGGAGCCCAAGACGGTCTCTGAAGCAACATGAAACCCTGGGCCATGTTCAGATCAGGACTCGGGGCCGCACGCCACCCGGGCTCAGGACTTCCATCTGCATGAGGGAGGATATGCCCCCAAAGGACACCTGGGTTTCCTGCACTCCATCCTGCCCCCCATTTGCCCATGTCTCTTCAATATGAGCCCTCTCCTGTACCATGTTTCTTGGGCAGGGAGCCTTCGCAACACAACACCCCCAAATAACTCTGGTCCTTCATCCAGACTGTCAGGTCTATTTCTCTGCTTTGGTATGGGCCAGGACCAGGCACAGACGCACTCTGTAACTATCTGTTAACAAATGTATTCATTTAAAAAGCACAGCACCTGGACTATCCTGACATTGCTCCAAGCCATAGCTGTGTGGATGTGTAGATATTTAAGGAGCTCATTACAATCAGAAATGATACAGAGGACTGGTTAGATAATTTATGGTAAACCCTGAAGTAGAATATTTTGCAGCAGTTTAAAAGAATGAGGGAATTCTCTGTATACTGACATGCATGAAGACATTACCAAGATTTACTGTTGAGGGAAAGAGCTAGTCACAGAACAGTATGTACAAATAAATAATAAAACTGTATAAATATAATTAAGAGGTTACATAGGAAAAATACATAAACACCCAACTCTTAATAGTGGATTTCTCCAAGATACAGGACTATAGGAGGTATTCGGTTTCTAAATATTACATCCCTGTGTGAATTCTTTACACCATATGTTAGAAAGCTCGTCATGTGTAGCTATTCAGATCCCGGCTTGCTGTGTGACCAGTAGCAAGTTACTTAACCTCTCTGAGCCTCCGTTACTTCATCCATACCACTCAGATAAAAGAGTAACTGTGTCTTGAGATTGTTGAGTACTGATGTGAGATATATCACATGGTACCAGTGCCTGGTAGAAAGTCCGTGTCCAATAAATAGTAGTTATTATTACTAGCACTATGTATTGTCTCTATGACCAAATACACAAATACATGTAAAATTTGTCTTTTGAAAATCACTTGGTGATAACTGCAAGAGAAAAGACCCCAAGTTTTGGCAAAAATCCTCCGTCTAGCTTTGGATTCTCACGTCGAATAGGAAATACAAGCAGTGCCCCATGGATAAACATGCTCGAGTGGGGATCAACAGCTACCCCCAAACCTGCCTGTTTTCCTACTAGCTTCTCAGCGAAGGTCCCACATTTCTCACTTTAACACCTCAGCCAGGGTGTGGCTGAAAAGTTTCTGTCATCTCCTGTGAGATTTTCCCCGAGATAATGTAATAAAGCAAATTGCTCCATCCACGCAGGCTCAGGGCGGATGTGCCGTGAGGACCTCAGCAAAGAGACACAAGGCAGGTCCCCGGCTGGCTCCCAGGGCTTCCTTCCCCAGACAGCCTGCTGGAGACCCAGCTGCAAAAGCTCAGAGAGCGAAGGCCCACCAGCCTGGCTCGGCCCGTCACCTTTCTGAAGGCCCCAGTGCTTACCTGCACGGTCAGGTAGAGCCTGTGGGGGCTCCCAGGACCAGCCCAGTCCACGCTGAGGGCTCGGCACTGAGCGAGGGCCGGGCGAGCTGCACTTCGGGCGCCGGAGTCCTCGTCACTGCTGACTGGGGTGTCTTTTCCACGCCCTGTCCCAGGACAGAGAATACAGGTAAGATGCTACACCCCTGGCTGAAGGCTGCTGGCCAGGACCCCTGGCTAGGGATGCCGCTGAGCTCTGCTTGCCCACAGTCCGGGCCGGCCCAGGCGCAGCCAGGAGGGACTCACACGCCCTCACACGCCTGACCTACGCGGAGGGAAGGCCTCACACCAGGCAGGGGCTGTGCTCCTTTCTTCCCAAAAGCCACCCCGAGCTTCTCTTTACCAAGGCACCCGAGGCCTCCAGGGCGGGAGGGGGGGTGCTCCCCACCCTCCACAGTGGCTTTTGGGGCTGGCACTTGCTCATGAACACCCTCTCCAGAGAGCAGCAAAGCGAAGCCCTGCCAACCGGGCTGCACTCACTCATCTTCACCGGAGGTGCACCCCAGGGCCGTGGCTTTATTACCAAGGCCGCCTCTAGGTGGCAATTTCTCCCCTGCCTTCCTAAAGACCAACTCCTGCTTCCCGCAGCCTCCAAAAGCATATTCAGGACCAGCTAAAGCACATCCCCTCGAGCCTCTGACACAGTGCCTCCCTCACTGGATGGGGCAGAGAGCTGACCGTGGTATGGCTACCCCATGTACCCCATCCCGACCCTCCACCAGGGCCTTACTGCCCGGCCCGATCCTCAGTTTCCTTGTCAATAATATGGGGACAAGGAACCAAGCTCAGAGTCCTGGGGTGAGGGTTACACGGAATGACACACATAACATGCTCACTCTGCACCAGGCACACAGAAAGTGGCTACAGATGCAGGCCCTTAGGGCCACAACCAAGGAGGGTCAATAACGTGCCCAGTGTCACACTGAGCCAGTACTGCGATCCCATGGGCTAACCCACCCTCTGCTTGCCTATCCCTCTGAAGGCAGAGGAAAGAGTCGGGCGGGGGGGCAGGGGTGACCAAGCTGGCTGAAACCCTACTCAATGTTAGGCACTCTGCTTAGCATTTCACCCACGGGATTTCATTTGACCTTTGTCTTAAATTGTAAAAGTGGATTAGTCTGTATGGTCATATAATCTTCATAACACTCACTTAATAGATCAATATGTGTGCATGCCCACATACACAGAAGGAACTATAAAAAATGTCCATTTAGAAGCTTATGGGTGATTTTTATTTTCTTTTTTACACTTTTCAGTGTTTTTTCTTTTGAGTGGTTTTTTTTAGTTTTTTTTTTTTAATTTTTGAGTTTTGTTTTTTTGTTTAGTTTTCCAAAGGAACATGTTTTTGTCTCTTGCTTGTTCTTTTCCCTTTTCTCTCCCTTTCTGTTTACCAGAAAAGCAATGCTCATTCATATTACATCTGTAATCCTTAGGAAAACCTTGTGGAGTACAGACCATCTTCATCCCCTTCCAGACAATTGAGGCTACCTGACCCAAAAGCCCAAGCTTTTCCCAGAGACCCCAGGGCCATCCCCAGGCTCACTGTGCCCTGCAGAGAGACTTTGGAGGGTATCATTCCGGCGGCCACCAGTGGCACAAATGTGGTGGGAGAGAGGGGACTGAACAGGAGTTTGCTGTGTGGCCTCTCTAAGCCTCAGTTTCCCCTTCTGTACCTGGGGGGGTGGGGCTTGGATCTGATGGCCCAGAGGGACTCTGCTAGCTCAGACAGGCTGGTAATCTAAACCCCTTTCTCTGTAGGTCAGGAATAATAGAGAGTAAGCCCCTTAAGACATCTTGACTGAGGACCCCTCTCTCCCTCCACACTTCCAGGAAGACATGCCCAAGCTCAGCTCAGGAGACAGTCATGGGGCAGCTCCCCAGACCCGAAGATCCAGCCGCCACCAGGAATCAGATGTGCCACTCACTTCTTGGCGTGTCAGGTACCAGGGGACATGACCCAGAAAGGAGAGCTGGTGTTGACAGCTCCCCGAGGGGGACAACGGAGGGGGGGCGCACTCGGGGACTCCTTCACTGCCCACCTGCTGTGGGGGCCCCTACAGGAGCCGCCCCGGATGGCACCTGAAACCGAGCGCAGGGCACCTAAACCCAGGCTGGCCACGCTCCGGGGCGGCCTCAGTCGGCTCCTCGCGCCACTGGCGGGCCGGCCGGCCGCGATCAGGTGTCAGCGCGGCGCAGGGCACCGGGCGGCCCCTTCACCTACCTTGTTTACCAGCCGCCGCAGAAACCGGAGCGAGACCGCGAGCGAGACCGCGAGCACTCGGCCAGGGACCAAGCACGCGCCGCCCGCGGAGCGCCCCCCGCCCGGCCGGGTGGAGATCGCGTGGTTTGGGCGGCGTTGGCCCCCTGCGCCAGCGACCGCGTTGAAGTTTAACTCGGCGTCCAGGACCTCTCTTTACCGGCGGGCGCCGGGCAGGAGCGCCGGCGAGATTGACGCCCCGACTGCGACTCCGCGCCGGCCCGCGGGCTGCCCGGCACCCTGTAATTACCTGACAGCTCTGACTGAGCCTAGGAACTTGCGAGAAAGCCCGGCCTCATCTCTGCTATCTGGAGGAAGGAAGGGAAATAAAGAGGCATTTTAAAAATGCGGACTCACCAGTTCTCAACCTCCCCGGGCCGGTGTATGGGAAAGGGCGGGCGGCCGGGCTGGCGGGGGCGGGGCGAGCCATCCCCGGCTCCGGCTCCCGGGCCCGGCCCACTCTCCACAGGCCGCGCAGCGAGGGCGTGGCTCCCAGGTTCCACGGCCGGCGAGACGGGACCATGGCCCGGGGCTCAGCGGCCTCCTCGGGGCGCCGGGCGGCCTGCGGACACAACAGGGGAGGCGAGGCTGAGCCGGCTGCCTGGCACCTGGGGGGAACCGATCAGAGACTGCCTACAACAGGGCCACCTGTTACCCCCAACTCCAATGCCACCTCCACCCCCCCCCCGCAAAGATCCCTGGGGGGCTTGCAGGATGAAACAGAGCCCGTCATCATTTCAGGGTGCTTTTTCCCAAGTAAGGAGGCTCAAAAGTGGGTGAGGAGCCCATCAGGTGTGTCTGCAGCACACTGTGGAGACCTCACATCTCAGCTCCTCCACTGGAAGCCTGGAAGCCTGGCAGCCTGAAGACGCGCCAGGTCACAGCCCCACACGGAGGTAGCCAACAGCATCTCCATAAATCTAATCAGAAGGGGCTAACTGTGGCCAGTGACAAGATAGTCTTGTATATATCAAATTCTCTTAAAGTCCACTCATTCTATTCAAGTAGCCTTCACTTTGTGCCTACAACTTGGCAGGCAATAAGATACAACGATTCACTGCTTCTTCATCTAATAATTATTTATCTGGTGTCTGCTGTATGACAGGCACCTGCCAGGGGTCCTCTTTGATCAGGAGAGATGGGGCCTCAAAGCTCCCTGTCAGGAGGGAGGTAAGCACTTCAACAAAACTTCACCATCCGAACAGGATGCAGGGAGGCACCAGGCGGTATGGGAGAAGGGGGTGGGGGTGAGGAGCACCTGTCTGAATAGAAAGCCCCATAGGAGGGCACCTGAGTATGCAGTGGGTTAAGCGTCTGACTCTTGGTTTTGGGTTATGTCGTGATCTCAGGGTCGTGAGACTGAACCCCGCATGAGGCTCCACACTTAGCACAGAGTCTGCTTGAAATTTCCTCCCCCTCTCCGTCTGCCCCTCCTGCTTGTCTCTCTTTCTCTAAAATAAATTTAAAACTATTTAAAAAAAAAAAGAAAGAAAGCCGCAGAGGTCACTCATGAACTGAGCAGATGAATAGAACAGACTTTAAGCATTCCCTACACAAGTCTTTATTGAACACCTATTGTGTGTAAAGCAGCTGTGAGGGCATTTAAAGTACCCAGCTACAGTCCCAGACTCAGACGGTGATGCCATTAACAGAACCAAGTCAGCTCAGAGAGGCAATGTGGTTTTAAAATGGAGTTCGAGGCACCCAAGAACTTCCTAACAGTGTTACCTGGACTGCAGATTGCTTTCTACCAGACAGTGAAGATTACCTATTTGTGGACAGTGTCCACTCCCCTGGCCCTCTTGGCTCTCCAGGGTGGGGCCCACAGCACATTCATCGGTGCAGCCCCCCTCCCACCCAGCCTGGTGCTGGAACAACACCCACACCAGACCCCTGGCAATGGCCTGACGGGTGAATACCTTGAAATACATGCACACACCAGCCCGGGCTGAAGCCTGGCAAAGAGCAGGGCTGGGGACTCAGAGCTGGGAGGCTAACGAGGGTCCCAGTGCCACAGGTGAGGATATAATCACCAAAGGCAACCAGGCACAGAGCTCACTCTGGGTGGTAAGGAAAGCTGGAGAAGGACGGCCCGAGGTGGCAACACCAGGCAGGTGCGGAGTCCTCACACGTGACCAGCTGGTGGGGGGTGGGGAGGAGGGGATGGTCAGTTCTCAGCGAACAATGCCATGGGGAGGCCAAACTGGAAGAAAGCCCTGGGGGCTCTGGAAGGGAGCCCATCCAAGGAGCTGGGCAGAGGGCAGACCCGGGTAGGCCCAAGAGGTGGGCAGGGCTAAAGGAAGTGGCCGCCTCCTTCTCCGTGGGGAAGTGTGGCCACGGTGAGGAGGGGAGGCTGAATTGAGACGATGTGGTATGTAGAACAGGAGGGATCCGAGCTTGCTGGGTGGACGGGCCAGGAATGACTGAAGCAGGGAGAGGCAAAAGAAGTCAGAGTGCAGGGACCGGCAGCGGAAGATCTGGTGACCGCAGTTCCCACAGCTGAGCCCTGGAAGAATGCCAGCCTTACTGGCTAGGGACTCATGCTCTCTGCCTTCCCTCACTGAAGAAGACAACTTGGAGGAGGCTCCTGGGTACAGTGCTACTGGACTGTGGGCCAAAGGATGGGGCAGAGGCTAATCCAAGTATGTGGGCCAGCTCCACTGAGGAAATGAAGATGGACCAGTGTGGAGCAGAAGGAACCAAGGGGAACAGCCAGATGCCCTTTCCCCCAGGTTGCTTGGCACGGAGCTGGGCACACGACCAACCCCAAGGACCAGCGGCCTACTAGGGCAAAGAGGGACAGAGACAGGCTCCACCTGCATGCCAAGCTGCTGGAAAGGTGAGGGGCACTGAAGGTCGATTCCACGTTTGAGAGAGAAGACTGTTAAAGTGATCAGCTAAGTCTCAGGGACCGGGACAGGAGGAGACAATACTTCTGTGACTTTGTGGAAGGGAAGTTGGAGAGGCAGCCAGGAAGATAGCAGGAAGAAAGAGGAAGGGTGTGTGCAAGATCCTGAAGAGGAAAAAGCAGCGGAATTTAGCAGCCAGTAGGGTGGGAAGGTCAAAAGTATCCAGGACTCAAATAAGCCCAAGGCTGGGGCTTCTGCCAACTTAGGACTCACAAGGTGGGACAATGGGGTCGTGGGGTGGAGTGGCTATGACCAAAAGTTGGTTCAGACCCAGCTCTGCCACTTACTGGATATGTGACCTTGGGAACTTTGCCTCTCTGTGCCTCATTATCTCCATCTGAAAATGGGGAGAACTCCACCTTACAGGGTTGGCATAAGAATTAGACAATGCATACGTAAAGTGTTCAGAACAATGCTGGCATACACAAGGAACTCAAAATTTTTTATTTTTCAGTGATCTCCCTCCCTGCAGTGGTGGGTGAGTGCCGAGGGGCTGGCTTGGAGAGAGGGACAGATTTGCCCCTCTTTGTCTAGGTCAAGGCAACAGAGCTGCAGCCTCCGCTCTCCCCCAGACCAGGGATACTGCAATGATTGAGGACCGGATTTGACAAGTGCCCAGATACTGCTGCTGGGGAGGGCTTAGTCTCCCTGGAAGAGAAGGTCAGGGAGGTTGGACAGGGGCTAGGCCCTCCCCTGCACACAGTCACAGGCACTGGATCTTCCAGGACAACCCAGACTTCAAAAACCTCAGCTCCCCTAAGAACAGCAGAACTCATCACCCTAAGTCTCTAAAGTCCAGTAACTGCAAATACAGGGCCCCATTCTGAGGCTGCATTCCTTGCCAATGACTCTCCCTGGCCAAGGAGACGTCTACTTTATCAAGGACATGGGGACTGCACCTGGGCAAGGAGAGGTGCACCCAGCCTCATGGCCCAGGGAAGGTGAAAGGTCAGGGACAGCAGCGACCCACAACCTTGAGACAGATATGCTGGGAGTTGGGGGAGTACTTGAGAATTTAAATACAGCTTTCTCTTTCAAATCTCCCAGGACCAGGCCCTTCACTGCACCAGAGTTCTGTTCTAACTCCCAACAGGGGGTTGAAAGAGGTGGCTTCTGGCTTGCCCTCCTTGCAGGGATCCCCCAGGCTGCTGCTGTCGCCGGCTCAATTTCCTACTGCCCAGGAGGGCACCGGCCCAGGCCCTCCTTCCAACCTCAGGGCCGGCCTAGCCTCCCCTGCCCTGCGAGGGGTAAAGCTAAAGCTAACTGCCCAGGGAACGAACGTGGTGGGAGGGCTCGAAACTGCAGCCTTCAACGGATCCCTGGGGGGTGCGGGGTGGGGGGGTGATCTCTGCAAGGGGAGGGGGAGGCCCTGACGGAAACGCGGTTCCCCGGCTCGGTTCCGCCTCTCCCGGGCCAAGGAGATCGGAAGCGGGGGTCCCCAGGCTGCTGCGACCCCAGGGGACTTGCCGCCCCAAGCCGTGCTGCGGGTAAGGTCCTCGGCTCCGGCTGGACGGCGCGGGGGGCGGCGGGCGACCGCGCAGGGCTGCTTCTCCGGGGCCCGGCCTTCCGCGCGCCCCGCAGCGGGTCCGAGCAGGGGAGGGGGTCCTGCGGGCAGGGCGGGCCCGGACGCGGCACCGGGAACGGCGGGGCCGGGCGGACCCCGAGAGCCTAGCCCGCCCCCCGCCCGGGTCCCCGACTCACCGGCCTGGCGGAGGCAGGATCCCAGGCGTCGCCGCAGAGCCCGGGGCTCGGCCCGACCCGGCCCGCCGGCGGGAGGCAGCTCCACGCCGCCGCCTCCTCGGCCCGCCCCGCTCCCGCCCCTCCCGCACACTTTCCACAGGAAATGATTAACTCGGGCCGCGGCGCGTTCCCATGGCAACGGGCTCCTGCCCAGGCGGGGGGCGGCGGCGCGCGCGCGCGCGCGCGCTCCCGCGCACTCTCCCGCGCGCGCTCACACACGCGGGGCCGCCCACACCTTGGCCTCCCCGTTCAGCCCAGATGTTCCCGCTGGGCCCCGGGGGGCCCCACGTCCCGCACACGCTGGTGCACATGTGCGCGCACACCCATTGGTGCACACACAGCGTCATACGTGCTCGCGCTTTCGTGTACGGGCTCTCGCACGCCGGTACACACGTCCCTCACACATGCCTTCACACATGCTCTAGTCCGCACACGAACGCATCCAGTGTTCACACACGTGCCCACGCCGGTCCTACATACGTGCTTTTGCACTTGAACTTACACTCCGACGCGCACATCCGCTAACCCCGGTACAGAACTTTCGCGCACGTTCGTTACTCCTCACGCATACACTTCTCGCAGGCTGTCCTTCACACGCTCTCACACACTAGCTCGTTTCCTTGATCTTCTGACACACGCTTTCACACACGCTCTCACACACTCTAGATGGTACGTGTATACACTTCCACATTCTCACACACTTTACACATGCACTCACGGTATGGTCAGGCGACTCACGTGCTTCCCCACACGTGCTCCGCGTGCAGTGGTTCGCGTGCTCGTTGGTGCACACATACACTTGCTCTCCCTCACACACATTCTCGCACACACGCTACACCTCGTTCTCCGACACTCTAGTATACACATCCTTTAAAACCCAAGCCCACGCTTTCGCTCACGCTCTCTCACACTCCGGGTAGCATGCGTACACACACATGCGTGTCACACGTTATCACTCATGTTTACACACACACACGCTCTCACTAGCTCTAGTAGGAATACACAGGCCCGGCTGCCTCCCCAGCCTCGGCACCACCCCGGAATTAACATCTTCCAGGGCTTAGGGTTTTTTAAGGTAAAATATTCCTTTAAGCTCCAGGGAAGACATGTCCAGAGCGCAACCACTCAGGAGCAGGCAGCAGCTCCCAGCCCAGAAGTCCCTCCTTGGGGGACGTCCCCGAAGAGACACAGGGGAGGCCGGGGAGCCGGCAGCCAAGGAGAGACAGCTGACCCGGAGGAGCCACTCTGTTCTTTGTCTCCCACACAGAGGCAGTATTTTACTCCAGAGCCTGCAGCCATTGCCCCTCCAGGGTGCAGGAGGAGGGGAAAGAAGCTCAGAAGCCAGCCCAGTGCAGGCTGATGGTTCCACAGATAGTCCGAGAAGGGTGGGAAATTGACTCTTCCCTGCGGCGCAGGGCATGGCCCAAGAGGTGCAAGGAGGGGACTGGAGGGGTACACACAGATCAACGAGGGTTCTATCTCCTGTCTCTGCCCAGGCACCGGGCTGGCAGTCAAGAATCTCAGCAGGAAGCAGCCAAGGTCCTGGGCCTCAGATTGTTCTGGATGCCAGAACAGGATACTCGCAATCCCCCTACTGGAAGTGGGCTGATGTGTGTTTTATTTTCTGAGACGGCCCAAGTGAAGGCCCGATAGAGGATAAATGTCCTTCTCCTGGAATGGTTCCTTGGAGAGTTACAGATTTCCAGATAACCCTCCCAACAGGAGAGAAGGCCGTAATTTGAGAGTTCCCTTCTCTGAACCCCCTGCCTGCTCTCCAGACAAGAGTGGTCAAGGGGACTACAGGGTTGGATGAGGGCAGAATGTCTCTAGAATCTTGACCAAGTATCTCCCTATTGTTCGATTGTGGCAAGTTCTTTGCCTATAAAGTCCTGGTAGAGAACTGGAAGCCTTGTCTTACTTGCTGGCTGGTACTGTCACATTAACTGCAGGTTCCTTCCGACAAAGCCAAAGCCAGATTTTTAAATTAATAATAACATTTATTGTTCGTTTTCTCTGATTACAAAAGTAATAGATGTTCATTGTAACCATAATCCCACCCACTGGAGATAAATGCTGCCAACATTTTAGTACAGTCTTTTTTTTTTTTTTTTGTATGCACATAATAGCTACCATTTTTCCAAAGCTAACACTGTGCCAGGCACTGCACTAAACTTTTTATAAACAAGATCCCATTTAACCCTGAACACCCTACGAGGTGGACACCAGTATATCCCGTTTTCAGGAGAGGAAACTGAGTCTCCCACAGTTCGTTCATAAACCCAGCGTGTGATAGAGCTGAGATATGAACCCAACCGAGTGTGTGTGTGTGTGTGTACACATAGTACCTGCAAACAGATAGTCCTATCATGTAATGAGTTTCAGATGACAGATGCAAGCATTTATTAAGATCAAAGCATTAGTGGAGAAAAAAGAAAACTGAGTTATTAGATGGAGACATTTTTGAAGTTCTTGCAAAACTCTGACTTGAAATGTAAGAGCAAATTGCTTTATGATTGTTGGAATTTAGTGAAGAATGTACAATGTCACCAGGAACTACATACTAATGACTTCAAGGTCATCTCTATCCCAGAAACTTCACTGATGGCTTGATGTGGAGGCTGCCAACTGTCTCCTGGCCACAGGGAAGGTAGAGATTGGCCAGAAACCTGGCCATTCCAACACTGAGGTCCTGAATCCGTAAGTGAGGACTCTTGGGTTCAGCCTTTGGCCTTGACCTTTTGCCCACCTTCTGGCAGAAATACAGAAACATAGGGACAGCCATACAAGAGGCAGTGGACAGAACACTGCAGCCCCATATCCACATCCACCCTGTCCTCCGGGGGCGGGGGGGTTCAAAGAGCCTGAAACCCCTTCACTTTCAGGCGGTCCATCTGAGAGGTAGCCAGGGGCCCAACAGATCTATCGCCCGGAGGGAAGTGAAGAGGGGGGAATAATACCGACTGTGTTTGATCTGATTCTCACAGGAACCTAGAGTAAAGCACCACGTAAGATTTACATGATTTTCCAGTTTTAATTATTTAACTTGAGATCTGATCCCCTCCAGGCCTTTGCAATGCTGTTTTCCCTGCCCAGAAAGCCTCTCTCCTTCTTCCTCTCCCACCTGCCTCCGCCCACTTTTACCTGGCTGACTCCTGCTTGTTCTTCAAGTCCTTCAAGCCTAGAGGTCATGCTCCTTGACCCTCCCAGGCACCATTTCTCCCTCCCCCGCACACACCCCCACACTGGATTGTTAATGGCCTCTCCTGTCTACACCAATAGCTCCTGGAGGGCAGGGCACTTTCCTGACTTGATCACAAGGAAACCCTCGGCAAGTGCCCAGTATCATATAAGTTTCCACTGACTAAATAAATAGATCATGTATAATTCAGAGGGGGAAGAACAGGTACATTAAAGCATATCCAAACAGACTTTCTTCTTTCTTTTTTAAGATTTTATTTATTTATTTGAGAGAGAGAAGGAGAGAGAGCGCGTGAGCAGTGGGGAAGGGCAGAGGGAGAGGGAGAAGCAGACTCCCTGCTGAGCAGGGAGCCCGCCGCGGGGCTCGATCCCAGGACCCTGAGATCATGACCTGAGCTGACGCAACGCTTAACCAACTGAGCCACCCAGGAGCCTCCAAACAAGACTTTCTTCTTGTGTAACTTAATGATAATTCTTATCAAAAGTAGGTAAGAAACAGATCCTTAAGCAATTATTTCAGGGGCGCCTGGGTGGCTCAGTCGTTGAGCGTCTGCCTTCGGCTCAGGTCATGATCCCAGGGTCCTGGGATGGAGCCTCACATCGGGCTCCCTGCTCGGCGGGAAGCCTGCTTCTCTCTCCCCCACTCCCTCTGCTTGTGTTCCCTCTCTCGCTGTGTCTCTCTCTGTCAAATAAATAAATAAAATATTTTTAAAAAAGCAATTATTTAAAATGTGGTCAGTAAGGAGCACCCTGCAGTCGTGAAAACTATATATCCTTGCACGACTCTGGGTAACAGTTTCTTGAAGTTGGAGAGCAACATTCTGGGGGTAGGAGTCGAATGTTAAGTAATCCTGACTCAATTAGCCCCTGTTTTGAATCCACATACTGCAGTACTCCTGAAATAGTTGATTATGGACAGTGCAGAAAAAGCTGGGGAGAATCCCATGGAGGGAACAGGCAGGATTCTGAACTCAGCCCTGCAAGCGTGCGTTTGACTCCCAGCTGCAGAACTTGGCAGCTAAACCTCTGAGCATATTGGGGGTGGGAAGGAAGGAGGGGCATTGGCTCTTGGTTCACACCTGCCAGCTTTCAGGAAACCACGCTCTGCAGTGGACATGAAGGGGTGGGATATTGGACAACCCTTGGCTCGTCTGTAAGTTCCTGTCATTCTCATCTGCTACACACTGCGCTCTTCCAAGTGCTAGGTGCTCAACAGATAAATGAACAAAAGATATCTTTCTCTCTCCTCTCCCTTCCCTCTGTGCCTTCCTCATCCCTGCCCAAGAGTGCCTGCCTCCTTTCTAAAAGCTGTATTAACAGGAGAAGCAGTTCTATTTACAAAGGTCTCTGCAGGGAACCAAACAACCCTCCCCTCGAAAAAACCACCTTGCCCTAAAATCTCTAGACAGTGACTACCTTTCTGCATTTGCCAGAGAGATTGGATTCAGCAGTGCTTCCCCAGGCTCTCAGGTGAGGGAAACCTGAAACCTCTTCATGACCTGAGAAAGAATTTGGCAGATAGCTCTCCTGGCACTCCTGGGTAGAAAGCAAACAGAGGGGTTCCCCCCCCCCCGCCCCGCCCCGTTATCATTTCCTGTAGTCTAAAAAATGAGAGGAATGCAAACACTGAGAAGATACGTACCCAGGCACCAGGTAATAAAGAGATTTAGTAAGAATGGCCATGGGAGATAAGCCCTACCCCTGCCCCTCCTCCCTGAGTCAGAGCGTCCCCCCAGCCTGCCATCCAGAAGCCGCCTGGGCTCCTTCACCCAAACACTCTCTCCCTGGCTTCACTTCTTACTCCCAAATCATTCCATCTCCTTGTTCTAAGCCAAGGCATGCATTATTAACATCGTTCCCACTTTTTTTCAACTTCCCCATTCATTTCTACCCATCTGCT